ATATTTGTTTACGTGATGCTATAAAATGTAGAACTTACCATAATTGACCTCGACGAAGTATTGAAAAGTTTGATTCTTAAAAGCTTTATTTTTCTCTTACGTCAGAGTTTATTAAATTTAAAATATGAATAAATTACAAATTTAATAGATTCTATGACTAAGAGTTTTTAAAAGTTTGCTGTGAAATAAGAGTGGAACATTTAACTTAAATAAGTTAACAATAAATTTAAAATGTTTATAACATCTTAGTATTGTTTACTTTTATATTATTATCCGCCAAGATTATTATTATTTACGTACTATTTATTACCTTCATGTTAAAGAATGCGTTAGCGAGATTTTCTAAGTCAAGTCAATAAAAATAAAATAAAAGTATTATAGCGTTTTAATTGGATGAATGTAAAACAAGTGTGTTAAAAAACTTTGAATATTTCTTTAACAATCGTATGCAGGTATTTTAAGAAACATTAGGTTAGAGGTTAGATAACGATAGTAGGAATGCTCAAAGCAGAATTAATTGTATTGTTCCTTAACTTGCTGCAAATTAAAAATAATCGACTGAAATGCACGACGATAAACATAATACACCAGATAGCACTAGAAATCCATATTAGATCCATTCAAGAGTACAAAGGAATAGGAGTGTGCTACATACATATGTAATGTCTATTGCGGGCTCTACCAAAGATAAGTTATTCGTTCGCTGTTGCACTATGATCAATAATACTAATCAAAGCCCTATTTAGGTATGGGGTATATGTATATATAGCATATATTTGCAATAATCTAGGGACATAGTATATCTTTACTATCGATTCTTTAATGTTTCAAATGCTATTGATAAGGAGCAACCAATATAAAGTATATAACAGCTGATGTTAGTGTTGCGGATGATTTATTGAAGGGTGAAGACGGAAGGATTTGTGATTTGATTTGAAGAAGATTGACATAAGAAATGTTCATTTAAATTCAATAATTAGTAGTTTTGAAACTTCAAGATTGAAATTTAAAATGTCTAAAATAAATAAAAAATATATGTAAATAAGGGAGATACGTAAATCATGTTATAAACACTATACTGTATAGCATTCTGTGTATAGTCAATGGTATCAGCCTACACACGATTTCAAATTAATCAAAACCAAAATGGCGGTTTCCACTAACAAGATTTAAAAGCCACAAACGTTAATATAAAGGTTGCATTTTGTTTCTAAAATCGTTGGCGGATGTGTAACTATTTTATACAACAGATGTAAAAATGTCATGTTTCTATTTCGTGTCCTCTTCCCGTTACAAAGCTCGGGTACAACGGCTAGTAGCTCGGGTACAACAGCTAGTAGCTCAGGTACAACGGCTAGTAGCTCGGGTACAACGGCTAGTAGCTCGGGTACAACAGCTAGTAGCTCGGGTACAACAGCTAGTAGCTCGTGTACAACAGCTAGTAGCTCGAGTACAACAGCTAGTAGCTCGGGTACAACAGCTAGTAGCTCGTGTACAACAGCTAGTAGCTCGGGTACAACAGCTAGTAGCTCGGGTACAACAGCTAGTAGCTCGGGCTCAACAGCTAGTAGCTCGGGTACAACAGCTAGTAGCATATGTATGCAATAACCTATAGCGTCAAATCGTGAATAATTTTCAATTCACTAATTTACCCCAGAAATAAGAAATGCTTATTGTCTTTACACAACTAAAGCTGCGACTGACCAGGTCAACATTAAAACTGGACATGTTTGCGTCCGGAGAAAATCAAACCTCAAGTTTATGTACGAATGAGGATACAAACCTTTCTTTCATCATACGAACTTGTCCATGTTAGCAAAATTATGTCAAAACTGCCTAAGCATTGGTGTATCAACCAATGGTTTTAACCTAATTCAATCAGTTTATCGTAGAAAATGCATTGTCATCAGGAATAGTACCCAAGCGGAAAGCACAATTCGTCAAATCTACCTTAAATAAGAGAGTCGGCATCAGTGCAAAAAATGCTCCTTCAACATAAAACACATATTAAGCTCGAGATTTATAAAGCCAAGGAACCTACTTGCACAATGCAGAGTCAATAATGTCTAATAATGTCATAAACTATTTTTAATATATTTAATTGTTGTATGCATTTTTGTGTTGGCGGAGTAATGTTTAATGGTACTATATAAAATGAATTTGCTAAATAATGTATTAAATTCACCTTTTGGTATTAAAAACTGATATGCAAACTTGAGCTCGGGTCGAAAATGGGTACTATGGGCTCTAGTGTCGAAATATACTAATTATTTAAGACAATATTGTATAAAAATAAAAATAAAAACCTTACAGCCAAGAAATAATAGGGTGGCTACCATTGACTGAACGTAATCCGAAATAGGATTTGTAATTACAACGTTTTAAAATAAAATAAAAATTTTACTGTATCAACATAAAAGATGCAGAAAACCATATAAATAACGATTTCACAAAACAAACTCTTTATTGCGAAGTTAAATATTATGCACATATTAGTTATTTTCTTTCAATAACTAATAAGAAAACATTAAACATGTCAATACTGTTTTTTTTTCGTGGCATTTCCCTACGTAACTATATTTTGACTGGATACACAAATTTGTCATGAACTTATTTTTTATCAAGAAAAAACACCTTGGAACATACAACTGCAATATACTATTTATTTATTAATGCAATCCTAATGTATACTTTTTCTAATAAATAATACTTTAAACATTGTATTATGGTTCGAATATGTGTATTGGGGGGGGGAGGGGTAAAATTCCAGGGAGTACAATTCCAGCGCCCCTGTATTTTAACATTCTCTTATCTAACTTAAGGAAGCGAAAGGAGGTGAAAAATGATATCTTGTATTGACAAGATGCAAACAAGTTAAGTTTTTGAGTCGCTGTCGTCGACGTGAAGTTCTCGTATCTATGTCAACACAAGAGTTTTACCTAGATTACAAATGATACTTTATGAACACCCGCAGTTGTTGAGAATACTGATGTAGAATATTATAGATTGCAATATTCCTTTATGTATCAAGAATCAAAAGCCTCAATATATTCCTATGAACTAAGGTGAAATACAGAGTGACATTGTTTTGTTTACTTCATTATTTTAATTTTCATCCATTAGTATTATTATTAAAAATTGCCTTTATAGTTTCTTCATTGTCTATGTTTCCAAACATAAAATTGTTTGTTTTTAGTAAATGTTTGTGACAACAAAAGAGAGAGAGAGAGCTTATTTCAGTAAAAACGCTATAACGTCCATTCTGTACTCGTACTCATGTCCTAATTATCTTGGCTTACCATAAACGTTATATAATATGGATAATAACCGGAAAGGATGTCGAAAACAATCGATAAATAACAATACCCCCACCGCAGCAAACCTGCAGACCAAGTGAATTTCAACTGGTATGATTACATATTTACTAAAATATTTCCATAAATAAAACCTATTTATTTCCAATTTAAATAACATTAGATTTAACAAGTACTTAGGTTTGCTGCTACGGGGAACGTAAACAGTGTTTTTGGACCAAACGTCAATAGTATAGGATGAAATAAATAAATTTGCCAAATTTGATCAACATATATCCATAAACAAGTAAACTACAATAGTTTTCATTTCCTCCAAAAGAATAACATGAACATTTTTAATTTGCATTTTTTTATGTTCTCCGTAATCATTAGGCAAACAACGATGCTTCAATATACTAGATTATTTCTTTTTTAAAGCTCTACAAAATGGTTTGGGAAAGAAATTCCAAAACTTTATGTTTTTGCGGTCAAAAATGGGAAAAACCCATTTTTACGCCATAAAACCCCCATAAACCCCCGTTCCCATGGTCCGATCATGCTGGTTCGCGAACTCCTTCGAATAAATTTAGGTTTACACGTTTATACCAAATTCCATCAAAATCGGATAATTCGCGTTATCCCGGGTCCAGGTCTTACCATGACACCTACGGTAATAGCTTATTCCCTATATAGGAAATTCGCTAAAATCGTAGATACTTTCTGAAAAGGAGGGTGAATATAACGAGGGGTAAGGGGCCTGGTCCCCGCTAAATTATACGTTGGAAGAAGACGTAAGTACCGCTGACATAATGTCAACAATAAAGAAGCTGGATCTCACTAAAGTAAAAGTGGTCAGCGCAAATGACCTTAAGAATATGATCAGCAAAACTGAGATAAAGATAAAATATAGGTTTTTACGTAAAATTACTCAACCTAACCTTACATTAACCCCCCATCCAAAGAAGTTATATATTTGCTGCTGCCGAAAAGTATTAGGAGCAAAATTCCAGTTAAACATATATTTTCCCTTACTGTATTTTGTTTTCCGGGCTAATCTTGTTTTCACATTGGATTCTAATTTTAAAAATCAATCTAAACGGAATCTTACCTATTACAGAATAACATGAGACTCTTGTCGAAATCAAGCCAGAATGTATCTAAAATAGATTATACGTTTATTTTTTGTTACGTAGTCTATCTATTAACGTACTGAAATTAATTCACCAGAGCCAGGTTATTTCATCCTCAGTCACTTGAATTTATTTTGCAGACAAGAAATAGAATAAAATTTAAAACTTATTGGCATGTACGTGCGTATAACAAGTAGTATCATGTAGGTTTTCGATTATCGAAGGAACTACAAAAATGTTTTGAAAATGAGATAACACTGAACAATGTGTTCGTTTCGTCTGATAAAGTAACTCAATCTAATAATTTTCAAACATAAAACACAACACACCATCTTAAACTTGATTACAACCAGAAAATGTATTTCGCCTTCAAGGACACTAAAAATACGATGTTTACAAGTGTATTGTAAGAGATCCATGAATTATGGAATTACTCGGAGATTTATGTTCGGTTGTGATTTCGGGTGAAAAATAGGTTTGCGACTTCATTGAGGGCTGCACGGGGTGAAGGGGAGTGGGGGCGTGAATGGGTGACGTCACTAGGGGGTGGACCGCCCCCGGGGTATAAATGTGTGGAGCGCCGCGGCGCTGCATACCGCGTCCCGTCGTCAGAGAGTAGCCTATAGCACGTAGCTTCAAGTATCTACACACACGCACGTTGGTCCACGGTAAGACAAAGGCACATGCTTGTGGCAAACACTTTTTATGTTTTAAAATCCTTTTTTATGGCCCGGGATAGATTTTTTGCACTTAAAAACAAAATTGGTGAATGGCGGGATTTGAACCCGGGACCTCAACCGCCGTGGTTATGCGCTACGCTTTTTAGACTTGTTAGCTCTTCAGGTTTTTTTAATACTTTGACCTCGTTTTAAAACAAAAAGATTGAAAGTTCGAATAAAAGATGTGATGTGAGCGACGGTCAACTAAACTTGTTGAAGTAGGGTAGTTTTGTGACAGATATAAAATTAAGACAGTAATACAATGAAAGTGACATAATTCTTTTAATTGCACAACCCTTATCAAATTGTTTTGAGTTTAAAGAAATTGGGCTGGGGATGATGTGAAAGTATTAGAAAGAAATAAAGAAAATCATCATTTAAATTAAATACCAATCTTACAAAATGATAAGTAAATTATGTACACAGTTTGGAAACCCATAAACAAAAAATGTATTACTGAAAAATAAAAAAAATGTATTACTGAACAATTCTAAGTTGTGTATACTATACGTTTGGTTTGTTCATGCATTTACCCAACAAGAAAGTTGAAAATTACACTTCAATTAACTTACTGTATTAATGGTGAATTTCCCATATAGCGAATAAGCCATTACCGTAGGTCATAGTAAGACATAGACTCGAGAAAAATTTAATTTTTCGTTTTAATATTCCCAGGGGACAGAAAACATAATGCATTTGTGCACTTGAGTAAAACTTATTTTAACATATTTTTATTTTTCTAAATGTATAAACCTACGCTTATTTGAATGAATTCGCGAACCAGAATGATCGAACTATGGGAACGGGGGCTTATTGGGTAACAATTGGGTTTCTCGCTTTTGACTACAAAAACTACAAATTTTGCAATTTTTTCTAGGCTTAAAAACTTAGAGTTTAAAAAATAAACAATTAAGTATATTGAAGCGATGTTTAACGCTTCAATGGTTACGAAAAAAAAAACTGATTTAAAATTATTATCTTATTCTATGGATATAGTAAGTAAACTGCTGTATTTTACATGTATATGGATATATTTTAATGAACATTTGGCGGATTCATTTATTTCATACTATTATGTGAAAACTTTGCTAAAATACAAATCACTGTACCTTTCTTATATTACAAACCCTAAGTACTTAATAAAATAAAATAAATTTGACATGTTCATGGTAATAAAAAAATCCAATCAGACAAAATATAAATTCACTTAGTCTGCAGATTTGCTGCGGTGGGGGTATTTAACTGGGAAAGCTGTACAAAATTTCATTAAACAGCATAAAACATATTTCACTATTTTTATATCATAACCTGATATTATCAGTTATATAAATATAATATTTTACTAATGCAGTAAAGCTAATGGCATAAAGAAATGGCTTTTAAAGAAACACTTTATCTATAACGTCTGTCCGGATGATCAGTCGGATATTGAAATGCACATTAACGAGAATCAACCTATTGAAACTGATTGAACTACTGCCCATTTTTAGCGAATTTCCCTATAGCGAAGTAGCTATTGCCGTAGGTCTCATGGTAAGACTTGGACCCGGGACCGATTTAATTTTGTCATTTTGATGTCCCCAGGGGCTAAAAACACTATTCGATCAAATATATATATATACAGGGTGAATTTTAAATGAGTTCCCCCCCTACTTTTTTCTACATTTCTTAAGATATCAACTTCGGACCACGTCAGATCATTGTAGTGTAGTAAGTACTTCATTTTGACTGGATAAACATTTTTGGCCGCCATCTTGGATCCGCCATATTGGATACAAAATTTTTTTTCAAATGTAAAGGTAGGGTTGTGACTCATTGTTTCAAACTAAAATTTTACGCTGATTACAATGCCGCAATTAGTTTTAAAAAATCTTGATCCGTTCTAAAGTTATAAGGACTTTTTATAACTTTATTTTTAGCCCATTTTAACATTGTGCATTTACAAACTAAGACCATAATCTCAAAATAGTGCTAGATAAAGATAAGTATACACCACCATTTATTGTCGACCTATTATGACTTGGATATGACGGATGTATTTTTTCGGCCGCCATCTTGGATCCGCCATTTTGAAATGTGACAAATTAATTTAAATATGAAGGTGGTGTTGTGACCCATCATTTCAGACTACTTTTTTATGCTGAATTTAATGCCACAATCCGTTTTGCATTTTCATATTTGTTTTTTGAAATTATGGAAATTTAAGTAAGATAATTTTAATATTTCATCAAGAAAGCCTGAAAAACAAAAACGGATCGCGGCATTGAATTCAGCATAAAAAAGTAGTCTGAAATGATGGGTCACAACACCACCTTCATATTTAAATTAATTTGTCACATTTCAAAATGGCGGATCCAAGATGGCGGCCGAAAAAATACATCCGTCATATCCAAGTCATAATAGGTCGACAATAAATGGTGGTGTATACTTATCTTTATCTAGCACTATTTTGAGATTATGGTCTTAGTTTGTAAATGCACAATGTTAAAATGGGCTAAAAATAAAGTTATAAAAAGTCCTTATAACTTTAGAACGGATCAAGATTTTTTAAAACTAATTGCGGCATTGTAATCAGCGTAAAATTTTAGTTTGAAACAATGGGTCACAACCCTACCTTTACATTTGAAAAAAAATTTTGTATCCAATATGGCGGATCCAAGATGGCGGCCAAAAATGTTTACCCAGTCAAAATGAAGTACTTACTACACTACAGTGATCTGACGTGGTCCGAAGTTGATATCTTAAGAAATGTAGAAAAAAGTAGGGGGGGAACTCATTTAAAATTCACCCTGTATATTGAACGCGATAACTTGAGTAATTTTTGTCCGATTTTGATTGAATTGTTTTAAAGGTGTAAGGCGGGATAAACAAAGACCCAAAAAAACAAATAATTTAGTATATCGAAGTGTTTTTGTACGGTTATTGGTAACGGAGAAAATTAAAAAAAATATCAATTTAAAACTCCCATTTTATTGTTATGGAAAATATTGCGAAATGTTGTAGTTTGCTTGTTTATGGATATATTTTGATAAAACTTGGCAAATTTATCTACTTTACTCTAAGCTATTAATATTTTACGAAAACTATTCACCATTGGTTTCCTTGTAGCAGCAAACCTAGGTACTCATTAAACCTAATGTTATTTAAATATATTTAATTGAAAATATATTCAGACAAATTCGCATATTCGGAAGGTTTGCTTTGGTGGGGTATTATTTTGATACTATTGCTATGTTAACACTGATATTTATTTGCACTATTAACTTGGCGATGCGTATTCGTCATTTAAGCTTATTAGACTTTGTATAATAATAAATCAAGCAATGATTATTAATACAAGGAAGTAAATTAGTACCCATCATAACTAAGAATCATAAAAGATCATTAGTAAAAATGTTATTTTATTACACAATTAGTAATAACGTGTTATTTAAATACATATTTTAGGAATACGAATTTTCAAAGGTGATAAGATGGATAATATTTTAGATATGATTTATCATGCATAGGTGGTTTTAATTAGATGTATACCACATCTAATTAAATTACACGTTTTTTTTCTCTTCATAAAAAATTGAAAAACATATTTTTGACAATGAGTTAAAAATAAATGGACATTTTAACCAAAGCAAATAGATAGTTTTAGTTATAATTTTAAAAGAACGTATTATGTCATGGATATAAATTACGTAATACATACTTGTTGTATTGAATGAGTTTATGCCCAGTAACTAATAACTTTGGAAAGTGGTATAACATAAAGTTGGTGCATAGCAAGAACTAATTCAAATAAAACAATAAATAAACAGTATCAGCAAACTAAAACGTACTTTCTAGGAGCAACTATGATATTTTATGGGTAAAATCAAAAAGTTGCAATAACAGTAATTGGGGTTGTACCATTGTACCATTTTGTTTAGAGTTAAAAGGATTATTACTAAGTTTTTGTTAAAATCTTTCAAACAGTTTTGTGAATTTTTGATTTTCGTAATTTTTTAGTGGTTTAATGAAAAAATCATCTTTAAAAATCCAAATCATAAAAAAAACTAAATAAAACACCTGGAGATACCATGTATTACCAAGTACATACTAAATTTAATCAAAAACAGACCACACTGTCAAAATTCACATAGACATATAAACACACACACAGAAACCACTTCGAAAACTACTTTAGTGGTTACAATGAAACCCAAAACGTATACATCCCCCCAAAACTCAAAATCGAAAATTTTGACGGAAATAATACTTTCTCCATTTACATCACTAGTATGGAGGATAACGTTTAAACACAAAATTAATAAATGCTGAGTAAATAATATACTTTTCACTGCATATATAACATTTTACAAAATGGAAAATTGTATCCTCAAAATAAAACTAATACTGCATTTAAGCTCCTAATCTCAAGAAGGGAAAACCTCTCTCTGCTAAGCCATTGACAACCTCTTGTATATGGTTAAACTATTCTCATCTACCGGTGTACAATTCATTATATAACGCAAGTACTTTGACAACTTTATCGCACTTTGAGCATTCATTAAAAATGTCATTAACATTTAGAGTATGAAATAAACTTGATTTTATGAAGTTAACATGGGTAGATCGCTATGTTTAAAAAACCTTCGACAGTTTTCATGACTCATAATTAACAATAATCAGTTGATTGGATTCCCTAAACTACTAAATTTACAATGTTTACTCTTAACATTTACTATCCAATACATTGTACAATTAGTTAGTGAAGTATCCATAAAATTAAATATATGGTATAAAACTGTTTAACTATTTAAATGCTGGATTGCTTGCTTGAATATTGCAGAACGGTAACCATGAAATCTTCCCAATAAAAAAATCTTCCTTAACACGTAAAGAAAATTCCGAAACGTCCATTTGAGAAGTTATAAAGACATTTTATTAAAGACAAGCAACGAAATGATCCTTCTTGT